TGTAGGCAAGGATTGCAATGACTTTGAGAAGATGCATGAAAGATATCGGTTTGGAGAGAAAAATGATACCCAAATAATATTCTAATGTTTTCGACTACATTTAACCTAACTATATTAAACATGTGTTTTAAGAAAAGAGAATCATATTTGGTGACTTTTAGAAATGGGTCAAACACTAGTCAAATTGAATTCTTTTTTACAAGGAAAAATGATAGAAGTAGTTGTAAGGATTGCAACGTTATACCAAGTGAAAGTGTGACAACACAACATAAATTGCTAATTCCAAATATCTTTCACCTCAATGGTCAAAAAGGATACATTAGAGTCAAGAACCACATATTAAATGGTGAAACTTGAAAGGTTTTTAGAGATAGGCTGGTAAAAGAGATTGATTAGAAAACCTGATAGAATGTAAAAGTAATGTGGAAAAAAATTTTTACCAAAATTCAAAGGGTTGCTAAAGCGACACTTGGGGAATCTAAACGTCGTGCACCATTAGGAAATGATTCTTGGTGCTGGAATAATGATTTGAAAATGACAATTAAAGTTATGCGAGAGTATTATAGCAATTTAAAAAACAATAAGGATAAGAAGTTATGTTGAAGCATAAGAGAGCAACAAAAGAAAGCTAAAAAAGTTATTCGAGATTCAAAGACTAGGACTCATAAGGAATTATATAGAAAATTAGAGACAAGAAATGAAGAAAAAAAGTTATTCAAAATCACTAAGATGAGGAATTAAAAGAGTAGAGATCTTAATGGCATAAGATGCATTAAAGGCGGGACAAAAGTGTTTTAGTGAAGAATGAAAAGATTAAGAAATGATTGAAAAATTATTTTGATAATCTCTTTAATGGTAACTTTAGGTATGATATAGGTGAGTTTAACATACCTTTAAAGGATATAAATCGTGTGTTAAACGTAATACTAAAACATATGAGGTTAAAAAGGCTTTGAAAATGATGAAAGTAAAGAAAGTTGTAGTCCTAAATGGATTCCCGATTGAGATTTGAAAATGTTTTGGTGAAATAAAAATAGGATAATTGATAGATCTTTTCAACAAAATTTGGCATACTTAAAAGATGCTAAAAGAATAAAAGAAGAGTACTTTAGTGTTTTATACAAAAATAAATGTGATATATAAAATTATTCGAACTATTGAGGAATATAACTTATGAGTCATACTATAAAACTTTGATAATCACTTTAATGGTAATTTTAAGTATGATATAGGTGAGTTTAACATACTTTTTAAGGATATAAATCGTGTGTTTAAACGTAATATTAAAACATATGAGGTTAAAAAGGCTTTAAGAATGATGAAAGTAAAGAAAGTTGCAGGACCATATGGATTCCCGATTGAGATTTGGAAATGCTTTGGTGAAATAAAAATAGGATGGTTGATGGATCTTTTCAACAAAATTTGACATACTTAAAAGATGCTAAAAGAATAAAGAATAGTACTATAGTGTCTTATACAAAAATAAATGTGATATACAAAATTGTTTGAATTATTGAGGAATACAACTTATGAGTCATACTATGAAACTTTGGGAGAAAGTAATTGAGTGTAGGTTGCGATATGAGATCACTATTTTTGAAAATCAATTTGGGTTTATGTCAAGATGCTCCACAACAAAGGTATTTCACCTCTTGAGACTTTTGTTTTTATAGGTGAAAAAAAATCTACAAATAATATTTATCGACTTGGGAAAAGTACACTATAGAGTTTCTAGAAAGGTGTTTTGGTAGGCCTTAATGAAGAAAGAAGTTCTTTTAAAGTACATTAATATAGTTAAAGATATATATAATTGAGTTGTAATGAATGTGAGGACATCTGAGGGCTTAACTAATAGTTTTTCCATTACCTCACGATTACATCAGGGCTAAACATTAAATCCATTTCTTTTTGTATAAGTTATGGATGACTCAATGGACATATCCAAGATAAGGTGCCATGGTGTATGTTATTTACCAATGATATAGTCTTAGTTGTTAAAACTAATGATGATCTTAATGCAAAATTAGGATTATGGAAGCATAAATTAGAGTCTTGAGGCTTTAAATTGAGTAGATCTAAAATTAAATATATGAAATGTATGTTTAGTAGTCATAAAAAAGTAAGTTTTAATGTGATTAAGTTGGATGGTGAGGTAATACCAAAAAGTAGTCATTTTCGATATTTGGGATCAATTATTCAAAACGATGTTGAGATAAAAAAAAAATGTAAATCATATGATTCAAGTAAGATAGGTGAACTAATGAAGTGCGTCGAGTATGTTGTGTGATCACAACATACCTTTCAAGTTAAATGCGAGTTGTATAAAATAACTATAAGGCCTACACTGTTATATGGGACCGAGTGTTAAGCCATTAAGAAATAACATGAGAAAAAAATGAGCATAGTAGAGATAAGGATGCTTAGATGGATATGTAATAAGATTAGAAAAGACAAAATCAAAAATAAAAAGATTAGAGAAAAATTAGAGGTAATCCAAATTGAGAAAAAGATAAGAGAAGGCCATTTGAGTTAATTTGGATATGTGAAACATAAGCCTATTTATGCACTAATTAAGAGAAATGAGTTTTGAATTTAAGAGAGACCAAAGCTTCTAAAAGTAGACCATAAAAAATGTGGATATAAGTAATAAAAGATTATATGAGTATTAAAAAAGTATATGAAAATTTTATTTTTTATAGAAATGAATGACGCAAGAAGATTCAAAACTATAACCTAACATGATTTTTTTTTTAGCTTTTCATACAGCTAACCCCATAATTATGGGATATAAAATTTAATTTGCTGTTGTTTTATATATTTATATACTTTTTGCATCGAGGTTGGTTTACAATTGGCTAAAATACAAAATAATCTTTATACTTAATTAAATCTATCATATAATTTTTTATTTTTTATTACAAACAATTAAATATTAATTATTTATAATTAATCAAGTTATTTTTAACATAAATTTAACACTCTTAACTCCTTTTGTCAATGAATAAAATTGACAGGTGACATTAATGATTAGAGGTAGTCATGGATCGAGTCAAATCTAGATCGAACCAACACTTAGTTTTAATAACTTAAATGCTTGCCCATACCTGGCCCAATCCAATATTTTAGGCCTCAAAATTTTTTTTCAAACCTAGCTCAAGTTTAAAAAATAAATTTCAAACTCAATTATTAAGCTTAATTTGTATAATAAAAATTAAAAAAAAAAATTTTAAAAATAAAATATTAAAATAAAATTAACATATATATACTTATATAATTATAATATTTTAATTATATATATATTATTTGTGCTATGTTGAGTCCAAGTTTTAATTCTTTTGTTCAAGACCTAACCCAAAATTTAAATAGACCTTAAAATTGTGCCTAAGCTTGTTTAACGGACCTTAATTTTTTTGTTCAAACCCTTTCAAAACTTGAACAAACCTTCAAGTTTAGGCAAATAATCCAATCCTTAAACAATTCTATTAATGATATGGAATAAATATTTTCACATGTCAAAATAAAGATATATCATTTTAAAAACAAGTGTGAAAAAATAAAAATAAAAGAATAATTTTTATTGTAAATGAGAATGTTTTTGTTACGTAATATTATAATTCTATTACAACTGACACAAAAAATTAGCAAAGTAAAATTTTCACTAAAATAAAAAGTTTATTGATTATAATAAATAATTGATTACGGATTCAATGAAAAGTTGCAATCAAAGGATAGACATTCGTATTATATGTTATAAATTAAGTATAAGAGTTTAGATCTATTAAAGTATTTCAATGAAAAAAATCACTTCCTAAAGAGATATTTTACAGTACATATAATCAAGGCCTATCAAACAAATGACCTAATGCTTGAAAATGCCTTCAAAATTTAATTAGAACTATCTACGGGCTGGATTATTCAAGAGAATTCATTTAAAATTTGAGAAAATTTGAAAATAAATTTTAAACTCATTAAATGAGTTTGGACTTAAATTTTAGATACATTAAAAAATCGATTAGGCCTTTGATACGAAGTTTAAGGCTAAAGCCAACCCACCCAACCCGAATAATTGTTTTATATTATTATTTATATTCATATTACATAAAAATAAATACATAATTAAATGACATACATGTATTCATTAATATCTTATGCTTATGTATACTAATCACATGCAAACATCAAATTAAATTAATAAAGTACCTTTTAGGTTTTATTTTGAAAATTATTTATTTTACGTAGTTAATATTTATTACAAAAATTATTTTAATTTTTATTTAAAAAATTAAAATATGGTTAGATATGGACAAATCTAGAAAAAAATCTTTTAAAAATAAATCCAGCCTAGACAATAAAATTAAACTTATATTTTAGGTTGAACCGTGTTTGAGCAAGCTTGAAACTTATTAATACTTTATTTAAATCCAACTGATTTATGATTAAGTTTAAATCTAATATAATAAATTAAGAGGAATAGTTAAACAATATCGACAACTTTAAATAAATACGAAATTAAATTCAATTAATTTATATAATTATATTTAAAAATTAAAATTTAACTAATTTAAATTTTGAATCTCAACATTTGTTATCTTCTCGCTTATTTTTAAGTTGTCACCTTCTTTGTGCAAAAAAGAATATATCTAAATTTTTCCGATCCTAACACCATATTTGTATATACTATTTTTATTGCCCAGAGCATAAATTGTTTGTTTCCTTGTATTGGGGAGACAAATTGGGTTCCCGAGTTCCCCTGGTCACCGCTGGTTGGTCTTTGCACTAATCCAACAAATCATAGGCATGCAACCCAAAAATATTATACACAGGACATAATAAACTTCTCCCTCTTTTCCCTCCAAATATAGTACACCATTTTCCACCCCAAAAATTTCTCTTTCACAAATTCTTTGCTCTTCCCCTATCTTTCCCCATCAATTCTCTCTACAAACCAATTAACAACTCAATTCCCAAACCAAGCATCATTTCCCATCTCTCAAAACAATATGGCCTTCCCTAATTCCCTTTTCCTTCTCATCCTCTTTTCTTTACTCTCCCTCCTTCCCTCAACACAATCTCGGCTTTCCGTTGATTATTATAACAAAACATGCCCTCAGTATCATAACATAATGCAAAGAATCATCGCTGACAAGCAAATCAGTGCCCCCACAACCGCCGCTGCTATCCTTCGTGTCTTTTTCCACGATTGTATTGTTAATGGCTGTGACGCTTCCATTCTCATTGCCTCCAACGCCTTCAACAAATCTGAGCTGGACTCAGACTCTAACCTGTCCCTTGCTGGAGATGCCTTCGACCTGATCACTCGTGTCAAGACTGCTCTCGAGCTTCAATGCCCTGGCGTTGTCTCCTGCTCTGACATTCTCGCCCTTTCAGCTAGAGACCTTGTTATCATGGTAGGGGGTCCTTTCTATGAAGTCCTTATGGGAAGAAAAGACAGTAAGGTATCTGATCCCTCTATAGCTGAAAGTAACCTTCCTAAACCTACAATGCCAATGAGTAAGCTGCTATCTCTCTTCTCTACCAAAGGGTTTTCAGCGGAAGAAATGGTTGCTCTTGTTGGTGCACATACCATTGGTTTCTCCCATTGTAAAGAGTTTGCCAATCGAATATTCAACTTCAGCAAGACTTCCGAGTATGACCCTGCTTACAACCCTGCATTTGCACAAGGTTTAAGGAAACTCTGCGCTAATTATACCAAAGATCCAGAAATGTCAGCCTTTAATGATGTGTTCACGCCAGGAAAGTTTGATAACATGTATTACAAGAATTTGCAAAGAGGATTGGGGTTGTTATTATCTGATCAGGCAATGCTCATGGACAACAAGACCAGGCCATTTGTGGACCTGTTTGCTGCAAACCAGACGGCATTTTTTTATTCGTTTGCTCGTTCAATGGAGAAGCTGAGCGTTTATAAAACCAAGACGGATAAGGATGGGGAAGTAAGACGCAGATGCGATCAGATTAACACTCTTCAGATTTGATGAAAAAAAGAAAAGAAATATTTTTTTGTTGTTTTTATGTTCCCCGGTTTATATGGTTGACAAGTGACTATTGAATTTTAATTCTAGAATGTTGTAAGATATTGTTGAGCATTTTCAAGTAATTTGTAATTTTTTTTTTATTGAACAATCCGTAACATGTGCTTTTAATGTCAATCATCCAATTAGAACAAACAAAACTCTCGGACTTTGACAACTGAAAATCAACCTTTCTAAAATCCCAGGGTTTACACCAAGATTATGCCAGATACCACAACAATTACTCAAAATGCAAGCTCTCATCGTTTCTGTTAACAGTTTCAATTCTCCTATCACTGCAAAAACCCCAAAGGTCACTAAGACAAGACGCAATTACACCACCAGATCCATTAACGTTTTGCGTTCTTCAGCAACAAATCCAGAAAGAAAATAAATCACTGCTTTTGGCACATAGCCAGCCAACAACCATAAGTTAAACGTGCAAGGGCTTCTGATACATTCCTGAAAGTTATTATCAGCTAAATATTCCGGTAACAGGAAAGACAGCAGGCCTAGGAGGTGATAAATTGATAATAGACTTCCATTTCTTTAACCCAAAAATACAACCCGTGCAAAGAGTTGAACAAAGGAGGACCTTGAAAATTAATTTTATGCAATTTACAAGGACTATTGTTGAGAATTCAAAGGGGGAAAAATAACAAGATAAGACCGGGGAAGAAAGGGGGGGAAAGAAGAAAGAATTTTACAATAACAATGAGTTGTCACCCTTGACATGCTGAAGAAATGGTTAAATCTATCTTAACCATCTTCGCTTATGACCAACATATTATGGTTCGTACTTGCCTGCACATATGTTGGACCACTGCAATAAATTACGGAAGCAGAAACAGATGATTGGTAGACCCCAAAAATTGCTGACTTCTTTAGAACCTGATACAACAATCAACACAGTTTAAGCAATCATTACTGTTAATCCAAATGCAGGGAACCTTCCTAGAAAATGAAATTCCATACTTTACCTGTTCAGCATGGCTTTCTCTTGTCAACTTTTAAGTGGATATTATACCATTTCTTCTTCTTAGTTCTATCTTTCATAGAATGTTTCCTGTCTCTCACTTCACCATCTTCTTTGGCCTCCTTGGAAACGCCTTTACTCCTGTTCCTACTTGAATTTCGCTTAATTGGAGAAACAGTTGAGTACAAGGCATGAATCTCATTCCTTTGTTTGAGAAGCTCATCAATCTGCAAAACCAACATAGGATGTGTTAGAGAAATTTATCCATTTACTTATAAATTCAATTCTCATGGAACTTAAACACATGATACCCATGAGTTAATCTCACCTCTTGCATTTCCTTTGTGTATCTGCTTGTCATCTCTGTAAATTGTGACAGGACCTGCGAACACTCTACATGAATATCAACAAGAAAAAAGATTCAATACAGGCATACACACTGTCTTTGTGAATGTAGATACCTCTCTGTATTCAGTTTCAAACTTTGACAGTTCCACTCGTTTGGACAGAATCTCAGCTTCCACAGCTCTAAGATTCTCCTTTTCCTCTATGAAAGGGGCAGCACAAATAGCTTCTATTGTGTAGCTTACACTTTTGAAAAAGTTGTCACCTAGGAAAAATATGCCAGAATATTAAAATGGTAGTGAGTTTCATCCATGCATATAAACCAACAAACACAACATCTGACAGGTATAGAAATTACAGAGCTAACCATAAACAGCAAATACATGTGTGCCTGGTTTTAATTCATTTATTTCACATGGTTGAAATCCATCCAGTTTTTTGAAGAAGGCTGTATCTGGATCCTTTGCAGCAGCTATCTGCAGTAGGGCATTTCCAAAACCAGACAAAGATGATGATAAAGATCAAACTTCAATGTTAAGCACAACTATGACATATTCAGATATGGTCACTCACTGAGTTGACAGTTTGATCCAGGCGATACACAGGGAAGCCAAGAAAATACATTCCAGCAGATGTAACTTTTCCGGTTTTTGCACTGTCCTCCTACACCAAAAAGAAAGAAAATTATCTTTAACATGTGCAGTAGAGTAATACAAGCACAAATTTGATGTGAGGCACAATAACTCAAACAACTATGCTAATAAGGCTTTAGTTAAAAAAAAAATTAAGGAAATTCTCTTATCAGAAGCTCCATAACAGATCATAATGAAGCCATGTCCCAGACAAACTTTGGTATACCGTCGTTTTACCACAAAATGAAAAGCATCAAACAGTGATAAGAAAGAAAAAAAGAAGCAGGAGGGAAAGAATAAGTACATGAAGAGAGAAAAGGATAAAGGACAAGATTGCAACTTTCTTAAGATAAATATGGTTTGACATTCTGTTACAGTGACCAAAATCCAAGCAATTTTACCTAATTATATTCATGCCTCCACAATGTTTTAAAAGGGGATAGGCTGGGAATAAAACAGAAAGGTAAGTAAACACAAAAATAACAAAAAGGCCTTTTACAGAAATCTCTTGCAGATGATGGGGAAAAGGCCTAAACTTCTATAGAGTTGTGAGCTGGCTTAGCACCAAGCTGCTCGCCGAAACCTGACCTAGTGATTTATCAAGTATCAACTGTTCTTGTATACAAATGCTGTCGCTTTACTCCAATATTGTGAGGTGAGAAGACTTAAAATTGTTCTAAAATTAACAATAAATAGCAAGTTCATGAAACTCAAAATCTAGATTTTACACATAAACAGAATGGAGGAGCTTTTAATGTGGAGATTAAAAGACTTTATTGTGATAGCTCGTCTGAAGAAACTTGCTATGCAACATAAACAGTGCACAACTCAAAAACTTTAAAAAGAGAAAAGGGGAAAGAGGACAACACATTACCTGCAGGGCAAGGCTTAATCCACCATTCTCTTCTAGATCAAAATACAATAGCTGCAATCAATTACTAAAAACATGATTAATTCTTGATGCACCAGAAAAGGCTAAAAGGGTATACTTTATTTGTTCATGTCTCCTAGAAAACCAGACAATTAGTTATTAAAGTATAAATATTTGTATTTCACAATATTTTAAAAGGAGAACTTGAGCCCAATATGATAGGCCATTGGATCTTAATAAAGGTGGTAGTTCTCAGCAATTCATACACCAACAGTTTGGGAGCAAAACATGTTATAAGGATCCTTAAGGCATAAATTATTTTAATTCAAGAGCTTCGGTAGAACTCAAATGAAACAAGGCAAAAGCACACTAGCACACTTGTTGTGTAACCTGATTCAGACTAAACCAAAGCAGTAACACTTAAATCCATATAAAAGGTAAAACTGTGCAAGAGCTTTGCCCTTGTCCACAAATCAAAACTATCTAGAAGAAAATTATCACAAACAATAGTTGCATCTATCTATCCTCTGTGACTCAACTAAGGACCATTCATTGACCACAAAAGAGATGAAACACCAGCTTCCACTATCAATCTTCTGCAACTTATACTAAGGGCTTCAATGATTCTCAATTCAATCAATTCTTATATCCTAAATCAACAAATCCCAAGGGATGGTTTTTCCCTTTCTTTTCTTTTACGGGGGGGAGGAAGAGAACCTTTCTTAAATCTTTTGATGGGAAATAAAGAAATGTCCTCTCACTGTTTAAATTTCTTACCTTAAAAAAAAGCTTGTGGACACTTAATATCTGCTATTATACACGCATATTGCAAAATCTTCAAGAGGGATACAGTTCAAATTTTGCTTCATTAATACCAAAAAATGAAATGAACCACAGTTTATATCAATGCAACCCCCACCACCCTCAGAAAATGAAAAAAAACTAGTTCACATATGCAGATGATGCTGAATCCACAAGTTGTAGCTCATTGTTTATCCACCTTAAACTTGCTTTTATCAGATGATTGTACTCGGCAAACAAACCCATCTCTTGCTTCCTCTTGTGTTATTATAACAGAGTAGAAGTGTGCACATTGTTTTTCGACCTGTTAAAGATGCAACAAATTCAGTGACTGCATAAAAATCAATAAAAAGTATTAGCAAAGAACAGGAATATAATTATCTCACCTTCCTAGAAACAGGTTGCCCCAGCAAAAGTGGGCGAATATTGACCACCCCATTAAGTGCCTCCTCCAAAACAGTTGCCGATACAGTGGTCTTAATTGGCACACCAAGTTTACTATTCGTATGAATTAGTTAAAATTATATCCAATGCTCATAAAGGCATTGAAACAATGGGACATGTTAAATAATATAAAAAGGATGAGGAGTTACCTAAAAAGTGCAGCAAACATGGTGTTCACAGCACCCAAACTTGAAAGATCTAGCTCCAACTCTTGGTTATCTGCTTCAACAGCCTATTCAAAGGAAAGAACATCGTGATCAACAAAATTTCATGCTTCATCAATAAACCGTGTTTGGTGGTGCACAGTGGATTGTTAAAGCGTGGAAGAACTGGATTCTTTACAGCCTCCATGCACAATGAAATGAATGTAACAGTGAAAAAACCACAGACAACCATCAGCCTAAAAAGACTTCAAAAAATTAGGTGCATGTATATGTCACCTCAAAACCAGCTGTGTCATATTGGTGTCTTTTATCTGGATCAGACAAGATGTTATAAGAAAACGTGACCTCCTTGAACATATCAGCTGCAACAGGATCATTTCCATTCTTATCAGGATGGTACCTGAAACAGCACAAGGTTAGCGTCTATGATAGCTAAGCCACCTGATTAAAGCAAGAGTATAAACAGAACTTTATGTGTGCAATAGCAAGAGATATACAACATGAAAATAATAAACGACTCCACCTATCTCAAAAATAGTCAGTGCCCTACAATTTATGCCCTAAATCACATATTTCATTTCTCATAACCGCTTGCTGGAAAGGAGTATCATCAGGGCAAATTATCAATTCTTTAGATTCATGCTGGAAATAAGCTCCTTCCAAGGTGCAGGGGAAACCTTTGTCCTCCGGGTACTTTAGCTATAGATTTTTCTGTTGTTTGACCAGTCTTGCAGATATCTAACTGGTTATTCAAAGCCAGTGCTATTCTGCTTCACACCCCCAACCTTGCACCTGCATGCACTTCCATGGAAGTATAGGACACCAAAGCAAAATCTGCTATCTAATTGGCAAATACCGACATAAAAAATCTGAACCTTGGATAAGTCCTCGACAGCTACTGCTCTCCGTTGATATGTAGCATGACTCTCCTACACAGTAGCAATAGGAGGGCAAACCACCAAACCAAACCCCAGTCACTCATAAAGCTACGATTATCATCCCCAAATTGCCTTCCCAATACAAGTCCTCTATAGTCAATACTTATTGTCCCACTATACTC